TCAGTGCCGTAACTTTGGCCACTAAACGAATTCTTGCCGTTCAAGGACTGTGTAGAGCCGAGGATTAAGGATCAGCCTGTACGGCAGACATGAGTATCCAATTCTCCTTTTAGGATTCCAGAACGGACCGTCTGGTTAAACACCGGCGCCCCCATGCCACTTCTGGGCCTCGGCACCTTCCGTCTCAAGGGGGACGAGGCCGTGCGGGCCAGCCTGGATGCGGCCCTGGAGAACGGCTACCGCTTGGTGGACACGGCTGCCGTCTACGGCAACGAAGCCGCGCTCGGGCGGGCCCTGAAGGATTCGCTGCCTCGCCACCGTATTGCTCGCGAGGACGTTTTTCTGACCAGCAAGCTGAGCCCGAGAGACCACGGAGAAGAAGCCGCCCACAGGGCTTGCCTCCACAGCTTACAAGAGCTAGACACTGATTACCTGGATCTGTACCTGATCCACTGGCCGGGCACTCAAGGCCAGCCTCAGGACGACGCCGGGAACCCGGAACGCCGTCTGCAGAGTTGGCGCGCCCTGGAACGCTTGCACGAAGCCGGCAAGCTCCGGGCGATTGGCGTCTCCAACTACACCGTCCGCCACCTTCAGGAACTGCTGGACAACTGCCGGGTGACGCCCGCCGTGCTGCAGGTGGAATTCCACCCCGAACTCGCCCAGACGGAGCTGCTGGAATTTTGCACCCGGAAGGGCATCCATTTGCAAGCTTATTCCTCGCTGGGGACCGGACCGCTGGTAGAGCATCCTGAAATACGGGCTGTAGCTCAGCGGCGTGGTCGCATGGGCGCCCAGGTCTTGCTACGTTGGGCTCTGCACCAAGGCGTCAGCGTGATTCCCAAGTCGGCGTCGCCACGCCGCGTAGCTGAAAACGGCCAGCTGTGGTCATGGGACTTGAGTCCAACCGACGTGGAACAGCTACGACATCTGGATTCCGGGAAACGGTACTGTTGGGATCCCACTGGGGTCGTGTAAGAAGCCAGCTTCCACCGGGATTCTTCCAACTCTTGAGAAGGTCACCCTGTTCACGAAGTCGATTTCCCATTTCAACGCTTGTTGTCTTATCAAGTCCCAACGCTGGTGGTTTTAATTGTTGGTTGAGTGCCTTACCCAAAACTGAGTCATTTAGGGCTGAGTCAGCCCTAAATTAGCCAGGTTTAGGAATGTCAGGCTATTTTAGTTGCTCGTTTTTTTGGGGGGGGGGGGTATCCCAGCCTCCCAGCCAGCTGCGAGATTGTGGGGTGAAAAAACTGGAAAAAGGCCAATGAGAAGCCAGAAATAACAACCTTTATATATACATTTTTCTTTAGGAATTGGACAAATAAACAGCAACGATACAGAGGGTGAACACTAGAGAGAGAAAAAATCCGATGGTGGGTTTTTTTTTTTTTGGCCTTGTTAAAAAAAATCCCCAGGTAAATTTGCTTGGTTTTGTGGAAAGGAGAAGATGGGGATTCTGGAAAATTGGGGGGGGGGGGTGTGTGTTGGCTACTGGGAAGGAAAAAAACCCCCAGAATTTAATTTAGGGTTAAAGGGGCAGAGGGTAAAAAATCTGGACGGTGCCGCAGTGTCAGATCCAGAGTAAACTTCTTGTAGGTGGCGTAAAGAATGGAAGTGCTAGGGAACAAACTCGGCACCGGGAATAATTTGGAGATACCACAGAGGAAAAAGGGTGCCGCTGAGACCCCACCAAATTTCTCCCTCCCACCCCCGTAACAGATAGCAGCAAAATTCGGTTAAGAACCGGAGGGTCCATTCTCCGGGCAACTTCGGCGCCACCATGACCGCAGAGTGTCCTTCCAGCTGGGAGGGTGGTCCATGTGGGAGCAGGTCCCTGCGCTTTTGGGGCGCGGCAGCTTCTGAAAAAGAGTGGGGAAAGCGGGGAGTGACGTACTCGGCTGATTAGCACGTTACCGATCGGTAAAACTAAGAAGGAATTTCCTGATGGGACAATTAACCAGTGGGACAACTTCCCTCCAGAAGCTGTGGGTGCTCCAACACTGGAAGTTTTTAAGAAGAGACTGGACAGCCACCTGTCTGGAATGGTTATAGAGTTTCCTGCCTGAGCAGGGGGTTGGACTAGATGACCTCCAAGGTCCCTTCCAACTCCGTTATTCTATTCCTATTCCTTATTCTATTCTATTCTATTCATTCCTAATTCTATTCCTAATTCCATTCCTAATTCTATTCATTCCTTATTCTGTTCTGTTCTATTCTACTCATTCCTAATTCTATTCTATTCCTAATTCTATTCATTCCTTATTCTATTCTATTCTTCATTCCTCTATTCTATTATTCTATTCTATTCTTCATTCCTCTATTCTATTCTATTCCATTCTATTCCATTCCATTCTTCTTCTATTCCATTCTTCTTCTGTTCTATTCTTCTTCCGTTCTATTCTATTCTATTCCATTCCATTCCATTCTTCTTCTATTCTTCTTCTATTCTATTCTATTCTTCATTCTTCTCTTCCATTCCATATTCTATTCTATTCGATTCCATTTGATTCGATTCTATTCGATTTGGAATTAGCCATTGTATCTAAAGCTGGCCAGCAGGAGAATCCAGGTGTGCAAGGGATTCTGCAAACAGTGGTTTAGTAGAAACCCAGTTTTGGGGTGGGTTATACTCCCCCAGTAATGCTCATTTGGAACAGAGTTCCCTAAATATAAGCGTCGCTCGGAGTTTGCAAGGCTCGTATCCCTGCACGGCGCCACCCTTACCTGCAGGGCACCGTGAAATTCATCGCTCATCCTGCGTAGCTCCCGCCCGTAGCGCTGCGCGGCCCACAGGATGGGAGGGGCGGAGCGTGAGCGTGCTCGGAAAGCCCCCACCTCATCTGAGGTCTCCGAATCTAGTTGGTCCGACCCGATCCGACGTCTCAGTTCTGCCGACGAAGGCAAAGCAAAGAAATCTCAGTGAAACAAAGGGGATGTTACAATGTGCTAACAAAAATTATGGTTAGTCCTCGCTTTACGACCACAGTGGAGGTCAGAATTTCCATCGCTAAGCAAGAAAACAACCAAACTCTGCACAAAGGATCTATCTCTCTCTCTCTCTCTCTCTCTCTCTCTCTCTCTCTCTCTCTCTCTCTCTCTCTCTCTCTTTCTTTCTTTTCCCCCTCCACAAACCCCATTCCCTCCTAGCACTGATGATGTTACCTAGTTGGGTCATGAAACGTCTGCAAGAAAACCTCCAAGGTCAGAGGGCACCAAGAATTCTGGGAGTTGAAGTTCACCCCTCTTCAAGTGGCCCAGGTTGAGAACATGGCCTTGGAGTAGGAACGGGAGAATGCTGGAGACGAAGCTGTTTCCTCCTGGCTGGATTTGCTTCTGGACCCCACATCTCCAACCCTCCCACCAGGTGAGAACCCCAGACTATCAGTTGGGACCCTGTGATCCTCCCCAAATTGCTGAAAAGACTGCAAGGGATTCTGGGGCTTGTAGTTTGTGATGTCTAGAGAGCCAGGCATTTATCGGACGACTTTCAACATGTTACAAAATCTTATCGACGTTTTCCTTTACTGAGAAAAATACATTTCTGAGGCTTCTGTCCCTTTGGTGGAGTCCAGAGGGTGTGGATTTAAGATGGCAGCTGAATTAGGGTGAGGTCCCAGTTGTACACTCTGCTGGACAGCAGCAATTTTCACGTCACTTAATGGGATTTAGCTTGTCAGAAGACGCACCCTATCAGTCTTGCTAGCAGTGTCATTAACTCTTTTCAACTGCAAGGCTCAGATTTTGGATAAAGCCTTATACGGAAGGCAGCGTTGGGGGGTGGATTACAGACAACATATCCCCAAACTCCTTTTTAATTTCCTCTTCCCTGTCCAAAACAAAGTTAAAATTAGCCCAAGCTAAAATTAAAAGTTTGGGAAGGGATTAATTCAATGAATAATTTGGAATCGTGGTCTACTAGAAAAGATTTATGGACCTCATAAAAAAAAATTAACGCATATATGTGGCAAAGGGACATGTTTATGTTGCTGAATTATTATCTTTTCCAAGATAACCTAGGAAAGCTTAGCTGTGTTTTAAGTAATGGCCTGAAACTGAAGTTCTGATTAATCTGATTTGAGACTTCCGACGCTTTGTTCAGCAACCGCTCAAAGTTGCGGCGGTGCTGAAAAAGCGACGACCGGTCCTCGCACTTAAGACCGTCGTCCCTGCAGTCATGTGATGAAAACTCAAACGCTTTGGCAACTGGCACGTATTTACGATGGTTGCAATATCCCAGGGTCCTTGGATCCCCATTTATGACCACCTCATCCAGCTTCTGACAAGCCAGATTGAACTGAGTCGCTTAACTGCCAAGGCAAAAAAAAAAAAAAAGGTCATAAATTGAGAACTGCTTTTATTTGACCTCTTTTCACACTTCCCCTGCACTAGAGCCCAACAATAGGTTCCTAGTTGCACCTTGTGTGAACCCATCGCAACTGCGGCTCAACCGAGAGACTGTAACAAAACAAACCAGGATTTAACCAGGGCCATTTTCTCACGCGCCTGGGTAAAAAGAGCTGAGGAATTGTGGAGATCGAGCGCTGGGAGGAAGCCCTGCCCCGTTCCCGCTTACCTGGGTTCTCATGAGGGGGGCTGTTGAGATCCTTGGGCCCCCCGACACTCAGCTTGAGATCCGTGGGGTCCTTTTCAGCGGCGGCGAAGGTTTCATCTTGAAATTCGGAAATCTGGAACATGGTCAGGGGGCTGGCATCGCCCCTGCCTCTTGACTCCGTGTTTTCCAGAAGGCTTAGAGGTAGTGGGCTGCCTGGGGGGGGGGGGGGGGG